GTCAGCGTACTTATAATTATAAATATAGTATGTAATGCATTTGGAATTTTATGTTGGATAAAACTGTGGGTAAAAGGTAAAATTCCAAAAAGATATTTTAGAATCATCATTAGGTTCAGAAATAATTCTGAACAGATAAACATTTCCTTATCTGATGTCTCACTTTATGTGTGCGTGTGTGCCTGAAATGTCATTGTTTCAGTCACTTTTCCTAGTCTTTTATATATGTTATCCTAACATGCCCACAAGAGCTCTATATGAAAATTATTATCCTTGTTTTATGGATGTGAAAAGTTGGATCTGAAGTTCACTCATGATCTGCTTTTAGAGTTCATTTTCTTAAACACTCCTGGTTTTTAAACATTTTTAAAGAAATTTAATTCAGTTTTGTTGTTAAGAGACAGAGGCTCACTCTGTCACTCAGGCTGGGATTCAGTGGCACAATCTTAGGTCACTGTGGCCTTGAACTGCTGGGCTCAAGTGAGCCTCCTGTGTAGCTGGGACTACAGGCGTACATCACGATACCCGGCTGATTTTTAAATTTTTTGTAGAGATGGGGTCTCACTATGTTGCCCAAGGTGGTCTTGAGCTCCTGGCCTGGAGTGATCCTGCCTTCTCAGCTTCCCAAAGTGTTGGGATTGCAAACGTGAGCTACTGCACTCAGCCACTCCTCTGGCTTTATGAGTGATTTTAAAGTGGCAAAAACGTCATAGGCAGAAACCTCTTCTGGTTTGCAGGCTGAGTATATCTGTTCTCCTAAGGGCTATGTGAGTCACTGTCAGATAGTTGCTAAAATAAAGGGCAGATGGCAATTCCTTCTAGAGTTGTGTTTAGATATAGCCAGGAACCAGCAACACTATTGCTTTCATGCTTATAAAGCCTTTCACTGGAGAAGTCAGCACTATGTGCTGGACCCCGGTGTGTAAAAGTTAGTAAGAGGATGATGTAGTAGCAGGTCAGGGAGAAGAAGAAATAGGTTGATCTTGAATGAAGGCATTTAAGATTTCTGATAATTTGGTGAGTACTCGATATGTGAATATGATATTTTGGGCTTAGTTTTCTTCAGTAACATGTGAAGAAAGATTATCACTGTGTTTCAAGAAGTGCTGTAAAGAGAAGGAACAAAATACATTACTGTTTCAGACTAAAAATATATAAATTGGCTCCTTGGCAAGTGGAAATACCACAGCGATATCTGATTTCAAGGTTGTGTGTGTTAACTTGCCTGTCAGGTTAGCTTAAGTTTTCCTTCAGACAAAGGTTGCCAGCTTTTACCTAAGGGAAAGCTACTTTTGGTTTTTGCATGTTTGACAAGCAGAGCAAACATGAACACCGGAGGCATTGTTCAGCTAGGATGGCGATGAGGAATACTCATGTATTCGCTGGGTCTTTTTTGAGCTTCTCTTGAGTGCAGGCATTGATACTGGTCTCTGTGGTACACTAGATAGACAATTGTGAAATAAAAGCGAAGTCATGACAAACTAATAATATGCACATGTGGCATTGCAAACAATTGTGAAGAGGGTTAATTAACCTTGGAGAAGGGAAAGAGGAATCTAAACAGAGGGCCAAGGTCCTAACACTTGAGGGGATAAACGATTCTTTGTTATACGAGTGGTGAAATATAAAACTCCTTGTAATTTACTCCCTTTGAGCCACATAAATTTTCTCCTACTTTAGACAGCCTTCTTAGGGGAAGTTAACTCTTTATTTTCTTTATTAGTTGTAACTGAATGCAAAGTAAAAGGAAGAATCTTTACTTAAAGAGTTCAGATTTGACTGGGACTGGAATCCTCCTTATACACTTCCTCTGTAAGGCCTCAAAGCTCGGTATCATGTCTGTAGAGTGATGATGAGACTGGAGCTTGTGGAGGAGATTAATGGTATGACATTATGTAAGGAGCTAAGACAAAGTAGGCCTTCAATTAATTGTATTTAGTAGTAGAGATAAAAGAAGCATGTAGTATTTGCTGGATTCAACAGCTAACATTCTTTCAAAGGACTTGCTTTCTAGCCTTCCTCATGGGTTTTAAATTCACATTGGAGTTTGTTTCTTATAGCTGTCTCCTGCCTTAAGAAACCGGTTTACAGAAATATGGTGCCCTCAAAGTACAAGCCGTGAAGATTTAATTCAGATAATCAATCATAATCTTCGTCCAGGATTGTCTCTGGGCAGAGTAGATCATAAAGGTGAGAGTTTGCAGGTGGTACTGGTAATTGGTCTGAGGGGGCGTTTGTGTTGGGAAGAACAGGTGTGTTACAGGGCATCAGCTGTATATTAATATGAATATATATGGTGTGTTACAAGGAGAAAGGAGATGGAGAAATGGGAACAAATTAGATCTAAGGAAAATATGGTAGTAGCCTATTTGTTACCCTCTGTTAAATTGTTCATTCTTCATATTTTAGTCGTTACCAATTTGAGAAAGTGTTTATAGAATTTAAACTGCATTTCTTTAGTTGTCTTCAACTTATGTCTTTTTCTTCCACTTTCTTTAAAAAATTTATTATGAAACATTTCAAGCATATGGAAAATAGAATACAGGCAGTCCCCAGGTTACGGATGACCCAAATTAAAGTGTTCTCTACTTACAAATGGACTCCTGAGGTACCTCATAAGGGTAATTTACAATTAAATAATTAACAATTCAGAAACTAGTTTCTTCTGTGCATTTAAACAGACACGTGTGTCATAAGCAGTTCATTGGTGTAGCATCTTTACGCTAGCAGCTAGTCTCATCTTTATACCATTGTTTATATACAGCATCACTTTTGTCTTAACGTTTTGACTTAATTTAGTGAGTCTGTGCTTACTCTTATGACCGTGCCTACGCAGCAAAAGTCCATTGTAGGTCCAGGTAAGCCTGTAGTGAAGAGACAGGCCATTATAGCGGGAAAGGAAATAGAAATAATTAAGTGTCCAGGGAAAGGCCAGACGCCATCATTCACTGGTAAAGCATTAGGCTTTAGTCACTCAACTATCGAATAATTATGAAGTGGGAATAATGGAACATGTGAAAGGCAGCACTCCAATGACAGCATCAAGTAATACTGAGCAGCATAGTGGATTAATTATTGAAATGGAAAGATTATTATTGATTTGTTAGAAGATCAAAATAAGTGTAACATTCCTGTTAGCCTAGCATTGATGTGACATTAGGTAAAGGTTAACCTTTAATATTCTTTTTTGAAATTTCTTCTCCTATTAAACTTTTTTTATAAGTTTGTATATTCTCTTTGAATTAAAAGAAAGCACAATAGTTTCTGTAACTTATTACAGTATGGGGTATAATTAGTATTACAGTACTATACTGTATTATTACCACATATGAGCCATTACAGTATTGATATTATTATTACCATATATACACTGTTCATCAGATCTGAGTTACATACAATTCTGACCTAAAGATGTTCTCAGGAAAGTATCTTGTCTGTAACTTGGGGATCACCTGTAAGACCAAAAAAAAAAAAAATCCCCATATACCCATAACCTAAATTTAATAATTCTTAAAATATCCAATAAGAATTAATACATTTATTATATGCTTCTTTTTGTTTTTTAAGCCTATATTGGTTTGATGTATTTATATTTATCTTAGATAATAAATGGCCTAAATTTAGAACCTAGATCAGATCTAAGTCTAAATATATAGTTTTTTGGATCATTTTTATATTAAAGAACATAAAAGGATATCTGCCTCTTTGAGATTGGGATTCATGGATAGGTTCGACTTTTTGAAGGTGTCCTAAAGCACAGTTTCAAAAATAGGTAGGAAAGCTGTGAAAAACATCTGCATGGAACCCATTGTCACCTCTGCTATTTTAGGAAAGATTGACTCTAGTCATCTGAGCAAAGACTTCCCTCTGGGAAGAGTCCACACCAAACTGCTGCATTCACATGTGTACACCTGGACAGCTGGAGGTCCCCATGCCTCCTTGAACTTGCTGTTCTCTCTCCAGTTCCTGTCAGTATGACACTTACCCAGTGACACAAGAATTGACCAAGCCTGTGATTGTCAGACTCATCTATAGGACTTGCAGAAATACAGCTTGCTGGGCCCCTCACCCAGCGTTTCTGTTTCTGGTTCAGTAGTGCGGGTTGGGACATGAGAATTTGCTTTTCTGACAAGTTCTCAGGTGATGCCACAAATGTCGGCACAAAATCCACACTCAGAACCACTGACTTGCTAGGTTGTGTGCTGTTTGTAATGGCACATTTATTGTGAGAATTCCAGTAAAAGGAGGAAGAGGAGAAGACAAAAATAGTTAAGCAAGCATGATTTGTCTTTAGGCTCTGCTCTGGGGCTGGGTCCCTTCAGGAAGTAACCTCCAAATTATCTATGGGTTGCTTATTCCTTCGTTAAGTTATTTGGATTATGATGAGATGGCAGAGTGTGTGACCGCCGTTACATTGCCACACTTGATCAGTCACCGGTGTGCTGCATAGTAGCCCTGAGGACTTGCCTCGGAGCCTCACAGCTTGTCCTTTGGGAGCTAGTTTATTCCAGGCTACACAGCAGCAGACTTCCCCACGAGGATACATTAGAGACCCTGAGGAACATGGAGAGTAAGGGAGAAGCGGCTTAATAATTCACAGCAGTTTTATTGTGTGGAAGTTAATCAGGGAGCCCAGCATAAAAATATTTCTGTAAAATAAATATAAAACAGCTTCTTTTTAAAGATTTTCTTTAAAGATATCTAAGATTTAATGAATTTAATATTTCCACTAATTATATCATTCTAAATTGAATTTTGATCCTAATCATAATACATATGATATATTTATTGTATTATTTTAATCAAAATATAAATACCATTGTGAGCTCTACTTAATTTCTCTAGTATTTTTAGTTCACAAATCTCTATAGTAGTTATTGTCGATATATTCATTGTATGAACAAAGCAGAGATGATTGTATGAAACTGATGTATTTTTAAAATAAAAATGTCGACCTATGAAGGGCACATGGACCGCTTTTTCCAGTCTCGAATTTTTGTAACCAATACTTCTCAAAACAGTCTGTTTCATTAAAATAGAATTATTTCCTTGAGTTATATTCTAAAAGGAAATAAGGAACTGCATAGCTCCCCTTGATCAGGTTGCTCTCCAGAAAAATGGAATCGTTTACAATGCTGCCAGTAGGTTAGTGGATGTACCTGCTGCAATAGTCCCTCTAAACAGGGAGTTTTCTTTTTTAATATAAAAGAATCCATTATTTTATCCTTATTAATTTAATAGAAATTTAAAATTTTTGTTTAATTCCTAATGACAATGGAACATTCTTTGTGATTTATTTTTAATAATCGCTTTACATATTGGCATTTACTAAGTATTTTGGGTAATATTGTTTATTACATGAAATGTGATAGAAGTCATTCACCTTGAATCATGAAACAAAATTTATGAGCCCCTTAATTTGCTGAATTTTGACTGATGCATAGATACAAAAAAACAAACCTGAACTAAGTGCCACTGAAAAAGTGGCATTCCCCATTACAGTGTATAAAATGAATGTTATATAAATAAATATAAACAAAATTATAACATGATAAAAATCGTATGTTTTCTAAAATTATTGTGTCCTGAGTTCAAAATTGTGTCTGAACACTTTATTACTTTTAGCAGTTTTGAGGGCAGCTGTAATTCTCAAGGTCTTTTTTTTTTTTTTTTTTTAATGGGGTGGAATGCTATTCATGAATCCCTTGGGAATATAGTAAAAGCTGTGGACCCCTTTCCTTAGAGAAAGCATTTATGTACATTCACAAAACTTTGCTTTTAATCTAAGGAGCATAGACCCCTTCTAGCCCATCTGTGGGCCCCAGATTATAAACTCTTATTCGGGGATCTCCTGTAAACAGAAAATGCTTTTTCATCTTGTGTCTTAGGGGCTGACATAGCTGAGATGATGCTGGATTTCATTGATTGGCTGACTCAACAGGAGTTTGGCCGACGGTGTGTGGTCAGTATCAGGGATATCCTGTCCTGGGTTAACTTCATGAACACGATGGGGGAGGAAGTTGCTTTGAAAAGGCCAGAGACCATCTCCACTGTGACATCTTTTGTCCATGCCGCATGCCTGGTTTACATCGATGGAATAGGTTCAGGTACGTCATCCGTTAGTTAGCTGGTGGGGCCAAGGGGCTCGGGTAGAGGATAGTAGGAAAAGGAGCCAGCCCAGACCTCTGACCCAAATGTTTGACAGAATCATTTAGTCTAACATTTCCAAAACTCTGAATGGCTTTCCTTTACTTTCTACTGTTTGAAAAGTGGTTGGCGTAAAGGATATGCCAAAACTTCTCAAAGCTTATAGACCAGGTACTTAATAAACATCAAGTGGTGATTGTGAGTAGAAAGAAGGCTATTGAAAATGTCTTTACTATTGAAGCAATGGATAATTCTTACCACAAGCAGTCATTTTTAATTGATAGACCTGAGTCCTTTAAGTTTTCTATAATTTCATAAAATTCAATATTTAGGTTCTGGGTTTTTAGCCTCAAAATATAAATCAGATAGTCCTGTTAGTTATATACAGGTTGATTTATCACTGAGTGACTGGAGTACTTTACAGAATAAGTTGTTGCTTAATTGATGATCCATAGACTGGGGAGAAGGGAGGTCAGATTCCTTTGTTAAAACTGCTTACACTAGAAATCATATTTAGTCTGTAATTCATAAGGCCTCTTTCCCCCAGGAACCTGCTCTAGAGCTTCTGCTGAATGGTTTTAAAGCTTGGTGTTGTGCTGTTGGTTGATGGACTAATCCTCTTGTCTTTTAGGGGTAACTTCTTCTGGGTTTGGTACAGCCCTCTTGGCTCGAAAAGAATGTCTGAAATTCCTAATCAAGAAACTTGCCAAGGTAGTCCGACTTACAGAATGTCAGAAAAAGGAATTGAAGATTTATGACAGATTCAAGGCCAAAGAACTCACTGGGATAGATAACCTTTGGGGAATTCACCCATTTTTTATACCAAGGGGTAAGAAGGATTTTATATAAATGAATATTCTTATCCTGTATGGTCTAACCATTAAATCCCTCCCTTAAACCACTTGCCATAGTATTCAGTTGCTCCTATGTGGGAGCTATATGACAGTGGCCTGGAACTGGGGTGGTCCTGGTTGTGAGGGTAATGAAATAGATGTTTTCCTAGCCCCACTCCCTCCAAACTGGTGCACCAAAAACTTCTTCCAGGAGACATACAGTGGCACAAATGTTACACCCTACTAGTCCTGCACTTATTGTTAGTCCTGCACTTCAGTTACCTAATGGGTTAAGGATGTATCTTGAATTGACCTGGTGGTCTAAAAACCTTGATGAAATTGTTTACGTGGAACCAAATGACTGATACACCTAGCTTACACTCTGCTTTTAGGAAAATACCTATTTATAATGGTAAGTTGTGCAAGTACATAAAGTAATTTGAGGTATAGGTTGTGAAAAGAGAGATGTGTACTTGCAGTCAGCCTTACGTACGTATGTACATGTATGTATATAGGAGATGGAGAGATCTGTGTAGTAGGTGCAGTTGTTGAAGGTATGCTATTCTATTGGCTGTTCCTGTAAAGCATTTTGTGGATCTAAAAGTGGAGATGTATTGAAATAAGGATTAATATTTTCACTGCAGGTGGTACTTCACTGATAGTCTACTTACTGGATTCTTAAAATCTTGAGTTGGCATGTTTATATGGTTTGGTGATGTCTAACTTATATGTGGTTTTGTTTTTCTCCACTTAAGGACCTGTCCTGCATAGGAATAATATTGCTGACTATGCACTCAGTGCAGGGACCACAGCCATGAATGCCCAGAGGCTCCTAAGAGCTACAAAACTGAACAAACCCATTCTGCTGGAAGGCTCTCCTGGTGTTGGCAAGACAAGTTTGGTGGGAGCATTAGCAAAGGCTTCAGGAAATACCCTTGTTCGAATCAACTTGTCAGAGCAGACGGTAAGCTTAGTCATCCTACAGCTGGTGGGGATATGTATAGATAATAATAATTGTACCAATTTATATTTTCCTATCAGGAATGGTTACATTATCAGTACTCCCAAATATTTCATATGGTAATAAAGTGCACAGCAACATGACCTTCCAAACTAATTCTACTTCTGGGTTTGTTAGTAGGTGACACCTATTTTCTCTGGATGCTTTATTCTAATTCTATTTTGAGGGAGAATTACCCACTTTAGTAGTTATTATAATATAACCCCATTTAATTTTTTTTGCTTTCTATTAATAAAATAAAGCAATAGAAATAAAATGACTTTTAAACAATCTTATGAAAATATGGGAGGGAGATGACAAATTAAATGAAAATCATTTGGAATGGGGTATGGGAGTAGGGCCTGTGCATTGTTATGGGTGTGTGTGTGTGTGTGTGTGTGTGTGTGTATCTTAAAATTTTTTTAAATCTCACTGATTAATTTCCAAGTACAACCAAGGTTGAGAGCTATTAATCTAGAGTGCCAGCTGAAATTGATACTTGGAGCGTTGTGATGAGAAGATTCTTGGGGCATGAATAGGTTACTGCTGGGATTGGTTAGTTCTATCTTGGGTGTAGGAAGAGTAGTGGTACTAGGCCCAAATATTTATCATTTCAAATTTAGGGTCTTAGGATCTGGTTAATTTTTTTTAAATAATGTTGGCTTTTCACCATTTCTTCCCCTCTCAAAGGACATCACAGACCTGTTTGGAGCAGACCTACCTGTAGAAGGTGGCAAGGGAGGAGAATTTGCCTGGCGTGATGGTCCTCTTCTGGCAGCTTTGAAGGCAGGCCATTGGGTTGTGTTGGATGAGGTGAGGAGCTTATCCATCATGTCTAGGATGGGATCAAATGTATGAGAAGCAGTCCTACTTTTCATAGCTCTAGGGCATTCCTTAGTGGATGATCATGCTGATGGCTGGCAAAGGTAATTCTTTAAGGAAGTGATCTTGATTTCTTTAAAGAATAAGGAAGGTCACTTGACAGAACGTACATACGGGAACACCTGTACATATAACCTACAAATTCTCCTACTTTTTCTCGTTTTCCTTCAGAGGAAAACTGTGTCTTGGCTAGTTTATTCTCTGGTCTCTGGCAGACTTGCTGTGTTTGCGTTTATTTCAGAGATGTTTTACAAAAAGTGTCAGTCACCTTGTTTTATTAGTGCACGAGAGAGATTGGGGAATGACATATAAAATGATGTAAGAAAATGATAAAATGATCAGTGTTATATGTGCCTGTTGGGTAAATTATTGATCAGGAGAAAGCACATTATGAGAGAGACATAACAACTGAATCTCTGACAGACAGCTGGAGATAAGGAGTCAGATCAGTTTGGGATATGCAGTGTTAATTCAGAAAAAGGCTAGAAGTATTTGTGGAGCTGAAATGATTAGAGTGATGTAAGTGCTACAGATGAAGCTTCGAACATAGGACCCAGCGAGTTCCTTAGATTCAGACTCCTCTGGATCTGAACATCAGAGAGAGTGCTGTGGGATTCATATCTGCTGAGCTGTTTCCTGCTGTAATTCTTGAGATATCAAGGGAAGGGAATCTCCCTCCCGCCCTGCCCCCACAGTATTTTGTAAAAAGATGTCTGAAAGGATATTCATTAGCCAGAAAAAGAGAAATCCTAGTCTTGAAACTCAACTGATTGATTCATATTTAGTGGAAATACATTCAGGGACTCCAGGACATTCTGGACTTGCAAACACACTTAAGAGCACCTTTCTGTTTGGGGATATATAGGGGAGTTTGTGCTTTGTAATGCTTACGTAAACGTGACACTTGAAATTCTAATATAATCTGGTCCAATTTTTGTCTATTTGCATTTTCCAAATCTGCTCTTTCTGTGTTACTGAAAACCCACCCATGGTTCACATCTCTGAGCTCTGAACTCAACATCTGAAGATCTCCATTTAGCTCTTTTCATTTCTGGCACAAGATCTCTTCTTAATTGTCCTTGTTGTTTATTAAACTGTTGGTAGAAGTTATTTGTGTAGATCCACTTTATGGTTTTTATATCTTGACTTTGAAACCCATTTGGAGATTTTGTTGAGTATTTGAGCTGGAAAAGTATATAAAAAGTTATCAGACTTTACCTTCTACAATTATTGTTACATTTCTAAAAACTTAATGTGGAAATATCTGTATATTGGCAAGTCTTTTTATATGTTATTATTTACACAGTAAGTTAATGTAGGGGCATATAGTGGATACAGTTTAACTTTAGAGATGATTTTAACAGAAATTATTGATGTGTACATATATGTTATACATGCAAAATCTCTAGCATATGTGAAGTAAAGAATAATAGAAGGACTACATATCACCCCATCACTCAGCTTAAGAATAGAGAGTTATCAGGCCGGGTGCGGTGGCTCACGCCTGTAATCCTAGCTCTCTGGGAGGCCGAGGCGGGCGGATTGTTTGAGCTCAGGAGTTCGAAACCAGCCTGAGCAAGAGCGAGACCCCGTCTCTACTAAAATTAGAAAGAAATTAATCGGATAACTAAAAATATGTAGAAAAAATTAGCCGGGCATGGTGGCACATGCCTGTAGTCCCAGCTACTCGGGAGGCTGAGGCAGAGGGATTGCTTGAGCCCAGGAGTTTGAGGTTGCTGTGAGCTAGGCTGACACCACGGCACTCACTCTACCAGGGCAACAGAGTGAGACTCTGTCTCAAAAAAAAAAAAAAAAAAAAAGAAAGTTATCAATATTTGAGCTTCTCCCTCCTAAAGATAACTCATCTTACTTAACTGTATATTTCCTTGCCTTTTGTTATAGTTATACAACATGTATAATGAAACAAATATATGCACTTTCTTCTCCAAATAGCTTAACCTGGCTTCTCAGTCCGTATTGGAAGGACTCAATGCTTGTTTTGACCACCGAGGAGAAATCTACGTGCCTGAGTTAGGAATGAGCTTTCAGGTGCAGCATGAAAAGACGAAGATCTTTGGGTGTCAGAATCCTTTTAGACAAGGAGGCGGGAGGAAGGGCTTGCCAAGGTCTTTCCTTAACAGATTCACTCAGGTAAGATTTGCTGTTGCCATAGACACCAGAGATAGAGTGTCAGGGGATGATAAGACTGCTATCACATAGCTGTTAAGATGCTCACTATTAGAATGAGCAAGGATCAGCTTAATGATCCTCCTTCTTGTCCTCATATGGTGAATATTAATGTGACTGATTCTCATCATTGCTTTTCTCCTGGTTTGAATCACTTTATCCTATGCCCTAGAGAACTTGGTATATATTATCAGCTGGAAGAGAGTAAGGTCACCACCACCTTCTTCAGAATTCTCTTAACTGTGCTCAGGGATGAAGGCCAATCTTTGACCTTCTCGATTGTCTGTGTTATGTGCTAAAACATTTAAGAAAATTCTATAATTAAGGGGTTGCATTTTATTTAAAGTAAGAAGGAACAGAAAACTACCATGGAGAATAAAAATCCAATAGTCCTCAGTCAATCTTTACTAACATTTTTTTTTAGTAGCTCCTCAGTCAACTTGAATCTTTATTAACATTTTGATATCTTATGCCTTTATTCCTGTTTGCAGAGGAGTGTGCGTATGTGTATGCTTACTTATTCGATAACAGCTCTTTTTCAGTTTGGTTAATCTAGAGGTTTGGACATACTTCTAAATGTTAGCTTTCTTTAATGTTCCAGTTCCTTGATAATTAAGAGTTGATTGAATATCTTCTAAGAATGTTTTATTGTGAAAATTTTCGAACATCGAAAAGTTGAATGAATTTTACAGTAAACACAAATATACCTGCCATCCAGAATTTTGAAAGCATTTTACATTATACATAGAAAACATTTAAAAACAAATATAGTTTAAAAAAATAAATTGCATGTATCTTTTTTCTTTTCTTTGGTTTACTAGAGTAGAGCTTAAGAACAAACCTCTGTTACATTTAGATTTTATGATTCTTTATCCTAAAAATGCAAAAAAATTTTCTATTACTGAAAATTACATATATTACTCAGGCTTTGTCAGTTCATGTTAAGTAAAGATTTCACATAACAAGACATGGTAGTCATTTCTAGTATTTGGTAAAGAGAAACAAAGGCATTTTTTCCTCTTATTTTTGTATTTAATAGGTCTTTGTGGATCCCCTTACAGTAATTGACATGGAGTTTATTGCTAGTACTTTGTTCCCAGCCATTGACAAAAATATTGTTAAGAAAATGGTTGCTTTCAATAACCAAGTAAGTACCTACTTGCATTAATTGTTCTTTATTTTTTCTGGCTGTATTCGAACCATCATTTTTCAACATGCATAGTACTGTACCAAATTTTCAGGATCTCTAAAATAAATCACTTAGAATTCTATAGGTTTCTAGTGGAAGGCAAGCTGTTTATTGGAGTTTTACAGTAGCTCATTTCTGTATTGCGAATGCTTTAAAGGGTATCTCTGGCGTTTTTAAGTCTGGGGAAGGAGGCATCTGAATCGAGCTTAGCTTGTTCATTTTTCTTTTGGATTACATGTGGCCTGAAGCAGGACATGTATCCCCATGAGGATGTTTTTTTTCTAGATTGATCACGAAGTGACTGTCGAGAAGAAGTGGGGGCAAAAAGGAGGACCCTGGGAATTCAACCTCCGGGACCTTTTCCGCTGGTGTCAGTTGATGCTGGTTGACCAGTCACCTGGGTGTTATGACCCTGGTCAGCATGTGTTTTTGGTCTACGGTGAACGGATGAGAACCAGGGAAGACAAAGAAAAGGTGAATTTCATAATCGTTCTTTGCATTTCTTCCATCTGAAAGTTGATTTCTTCCTAAGGGAGAGAAAGAGCATACCCTAATAATACCAAGCCTATTAAAGCTGTTTCAAAATTTAGAACTTAGGGAACAGATTGAATATTTGCTTATCTTGGAGTTTCACAATGTAGAATAGTTTGCTTAGCAGGACACAGATTGCTTATCCATCTAAATCTCCATGATCACAAATCTTAAAACAGTATTGCCCTCTAGTAATAAAGAACTGAGTCTATAACATCTTTTCAAGCAAAAAGGTGAGAAGTAGGAGGAGACAGGTGATACCCAGTGGAAAAGGAGAGTTTTCTGTTTTGTTTTAAAATAAATATCCAATTACAAAGTGTTTAATGTGTAAAGTATTAAGAGATAGGAAGTGAGGATATTCTGTATATAAATGAAAATAGAAATGTCTGTTTATAAATAGAAAATAACACTAGAATTCTCAGCTTAAGGAATTGTAATAATGTGTGCGTTTTGGTTTGTGTTATTTAAAGTCCTGTTTTGCTGGATGCTCACAATAGCTACAGGCAGGAGTACTGTCATAACCTCCTACAGGTCATTTTTATATGGTATTCAGAGCTAGCCAGAAGCTAACAACTCATTTATTATGTGCAAGTGGCTTTCAGTCATTCATTTTAGGAGGAAATGTTCAGCTAGTTTTTTTTAACTTCACCTACCATCAGCTAGTATTTTCTTATTCACTTATTAGTTATAGTATATTATAATAATATATATGATAATAACATATAATAATAATTGTGAGAAAGATACTGGCCAGTTGTTAAATGATTGGTGTTAGATGGTAGGTCACTGTGGTGTGTGGAAGGTTTTGATCACTCCTCCAATTCAAGGTTAACACCAAATATGTTTTCTGATGGAAAGAAGGCCAAGAAAAATAATAATAGGAGGAGAAAGGCTGTAAAAGCTAGAGAAGGGTCCAGGTGAATTGAGTCTGATTTTGTAAAACCAAACCAGCTAGATTGTGAAAATATGTATAATTTTAACCTTCTGGTAAAACGTTAAGGATATGTAGTTCCCAACCCCCAACCCCTGGGCCGTGGCCTGGTACTGGTCTGTGGCCTTAGGAAATAGGCTGCTCATAAATGCCTGAGCTCGTCACCATCCCCCCACCCCCACCCCGGTCTGTGGAGAAATTGTCTTCCATGAAACCAGTGCCTGGTGCCAGAAAGGTTGGGGACCACTGCTTTAGAGTGGAGCATGAGGTCAGAAATTGCCTGGACTCAGGTAGGTGACAGGAGCAATCGCCTGTGCTGCTTTTAATTTCATAGTCGGATATTTGACACTGATTATGATAATTATCTTTATTATATTTATTTTCCGACTTCAGTGCAGTATACAACTATTATATAAGTATTGCTTTTTTAGAAAGATAGGTTATAAATTTTTTTTGATTGGCTCTAACTTTTTCTACTGCTGTGGGCTAAATTAGTGGTTTTTTAACATACCTCTATCACCTCTTTCCTACTCCTTAGACTTTTAAAGGAAATTAAAAAACAAATAGAGTTAACATTGTCTAACAGCATTACTACTAAAGATGGGGGTAACTGAATGTAAATAATTGGTCAGAGGAATAAATGGTTTTCACATCCACATAAATATTTGGAGGGATAATATGTTTTGGAGGCGGACTGGCTTAGATTTAAAATCGTTACCAACTATGGGCAAATTCTATAATTTTTGTGAGTGCTGTTATTTATATTTATAAAATGGAAATGATACCTATTTTGCAGGGCCATGAGGATGTGAAATAATCTCTTAAAGTACCTGATACAGTGTTTGGTACACAGTAGATGGTCAATATATGGCCAATATGTTATTCTTCGTAGTCTTTGTATTACTGTTCTCTTCTATCCTCTTTATAGGTGGTATGTTGAATGATGACAGCAAATTCCTTTTGCATCTTCAGATTTGCCACGGTGTCTGGGGCTTCATTTTAATTTACAGTGCATTCTTATTAGACTCTCAAATAGTTTGGGATTATGTGACTATTCTCGGGCTCAAGGCTACTTGAATTCCAAAGAATTGAATAAATGTAGTCTATCATTTTTATAAGAGAAAATTCAAAAGGATAAGGAAATTGTGACTAGTGTTCCCAGGATAGTGACTCTCATCACTGTGTATGTTTTGTAGAAGTACTCATTCCAGAAGGTTTGCCTAAGATTTTGTTGGAGTGATTTGTGTTTTGATTGCAATATCTTCTTCCTTTAGGTCATTGCTGTATTCAAGGATGTGTTTGGTTCAAATTCTAACCCATATATGGGAACCAGACTGTTTCATATCACTCCCTATAATGTTCAGGTGAGGAGACTAGGATAATCTTCTCTTCTACAATTTTCTGTGGTTTCTTCTGCTCCCACTACCAGGTATGCTTGTGACATCTCACTGGCATGTCTTTTCAGCTGGGCTACTCAGTCCTTTCCCGTGGCGGCTACGTTCCTCACCCGTCCCGCCGACCCCTATTGCTCCTGCACCAGTCTTTCCAGTCTTTGGAGTCAATCATGAAGTGTGTGCAGATGAGCTGGATGGTCATCCTCGTGGGGCCAGCCTCTGTGGGCAAGACCAGCCTTGTCCAGCTTCTGGCACACCTTACAGGCCACACATTAAAGATCATGGCTATGAACAGTGCAATGGATACTACTGAGCTTCTGGGTGGATTTGAGCAGGTAACCAGTCTGCCTTCACATTTTCTGGCAAAACATAATACACCTCATGGTCTGATTTGAGGTCTTCTGTGTTGGTGGTAACTACAGATAACTGTATTCTCTAACCCTGGCCAAGGCCACGATGAGTTCATGTGCTCTGGAAATTGCAGGTTGATCTTATACGACCTTGGAGGCAGATGCTAGAGAAGGTGGAGTGTACTGTAAAGACACTGTTAAGGGACAGCCTCCTTGTCAATGCTGATGATGCAGAAGTAGTACTGCGAGCCTGGAGTCATTTTCTTCTGACATATAAGCCCAAGTGTCTTGGAGAAGGTGGTAAAGGTATCACGATGGAGATTGTCAATAAGCTGGAAGCAGTATTGTTACTTATGCAGCGACTCAACAGCAAAATCAACTCATACTCTAAGGCAGGTATGTATATTTGGATGTGTATATCAAGATGTATATATATGTATATATCAGGCACTCACTGTTGCTCATATTGTGTTCATTTAGGAAATACATTTACAAATATAATCATTTTTTATTGATTGATTGATCAAGATGGTCTTGCTCTGTTGCCCAGGCTGGAGTGCAGTGGCGTGATTATAGCTTGCTACAATCTTGAATTCCTGGGCTCCAGTGATCTTCTTGCCTCTGCCTCTTGAGTAGCTGGGACTATAGGCATGCACCACCAAGCCGAGCTAATTTTTAAATTTTTTTATAGAGACAGGGTCTCATTAAGTTGCTGAGGCTGGTTTCGAACTCCTGGCCTCAAGGCATCCTCCTGCCGTGGCCTCCCAGAGTGCCAGATTACAGGAGTGAGCCACTGTGCCTGGCCATATTTTTAATTAATTTAATGATTAACAATTAGAACTTGGAAGTATTTGGCCTACAAAGTAAAATGAAGCTGAGATAAAGTATTCAGAATTGGTGTTCCTAAAAAAATCAAACAGGAAAGAAATTGGTTTATAAGCTTTATGGTTCATTTTCTGCGTTATCAGCTATAATGATAAAACATATATAATGATAAAATAGCATATAAAGCTTTTCTATTCTTGGTGCCCCTCCCCCCCACCTTTTGGAGACAATCTCACTCTGTCGCCGTGGCTAGAGTGCAGTGGTGTCATTAGAGCTCACAGCAACCTCAAACTCCTAGGCTCAAGCAATGCTCTTGCCTCAGCCTCCCAAAAAGCTGGGACTGCAGGTGCATACCACCACACCCAGCTAATTTTTAGAATATTTGTAGAGGCAGGGTCTCACTCTTGCTCAAGCTGAGAACGCCTGGCCTTGAGGGATCCTCCCACGTCAGCTTCCCAGAGTGCTGGGATTACAGGCCTCAGCCACTGTGCCTGGCCATTGGCTATTTTTTAGTTACTACTAATGCCTCAAGAAATTGAGCATTTTAGGCTGGCCGCAGTATGGGATATGGGTTATATTTCCTTTTTTTCTTTGTATGTTTAGTAATTTTGATTGGCTGCCAGACACTGTGAATTTAAGTTGCTGAGTACTGCATTTTGGTACATTTCTTTAAAGACTAGGATGTTTTTTGGTAGACAGTTAAGTTGCTTATGGATCATTTTGATCTTTTCAAGATTGCTTTTAAGGTCAAGCCTAGAGTAACCTTCACACTAGGGCTAGATTAGCCCCACTGTTGAGGCATGACTCTTAAGCCATTTCTGCTGACTCTTCACTTTGGCTGGCGGGAACTGGAGTGATACTCAGCCCTGTGTGAACTCTGGCCTCACATTTCCCCAGTAATTGTCCTTTCCTTGGAAGTTTTTGCTCGTGCTTGTATAGCTTTACCTGTTATATGCACGTGCAGATGGATGTTTAGCCAAAGACTCCAAGGTCCTTATCCAGATTTTTGGAGCTCTTTTCTCTGAGTAGGTCCCTCCTTTTAAGCACTCTCTTCTTCATTCTAGTTGCTTTGGCCTCTCTGAACTCCACTCTATCTGTTCAATTCCGTGAAACTTCTGTGTTTTTTGGGTTCCCCCTCTCTGCTTTGCAATCCAGAAATTGCTTCCAGGCAGAAAGGCAGGGCAGTTATGGGGCTTTACTTAATTTTTTTTTTTCCTCTCTCCCACAAATATCATAGTCCTGTGCTGCCTGTTGTCCAATAATTCAAAGCTGTTGTTTTCATGTGTTTTGCCCAGTTTTCTATCTGATAACAGTGGGAGGTCAAGTTGTATGTTATTCTCCCTCATGGTTAGAAATAGGAATTTGATGTGAACAAGGGTCATAAAACAATTTCTAACAAAAATCGATTAAAAAATTTTCCAGGGAAGGGCTGTATAAACTATATATTATACTTGGAAGATAAATACCAGTTGTTGCAACCACATGGTAATAGTCATTATCAAGGAAGCCCAGTTTAATGACATTCATTGCACTTGCCAACTTACAGCACTTTCTGATACAACTGCAGTAGTAGGTGGGAAACATTATCCTCCTTCCTGCCATTTGAGAAATGGTAATACAAAAAAATTATTTACCTTCTCCATCACCCTAGAGTCCACTCTGAGTATCAAGCCATTAATTCAGAAAGCCATTAGGACATATTTTCCATCCCAAACCTAATTTTCCTACACGTATTGAAACAGAAGCGAAACAACCTTCCCATTCCATTATGAACTCTTAAAATAATTGGGCTGGAAGTTTCAACTTTCTTTCCGTAACTCTTAGTTCTTGGTGTGAAATTAAGTGCTGTCCATGGTGATTCTCACCTTGACATTTCAGAGTTTGCCAAACTCGTGGAAGAGTTCCGAAGCTTTGGAGTTAAGCTTATGCAGTCATCCAGTGGCCTCAGCCACGGCACATTTGAGTGGGTCGACAGCATGTTGGTTCAGGCCCTGAGGTCTGGAGACTGGCTTCTGATGGACAATGTTAACTTCTGCAAGTAAGAACCTTATGTCTGATCATGAACGGGCCTACTTGAAATTGGGATCTGCTTGTTAAAGTAGAAACCCAGGTGGAAGCTCTGGTATTTTTAATCCACTATTTTTCTTTATTGGATATACATCCTCAGCCATACTCTTTAGACTTCTTCCTGGGGTGAACAATGGTAGTTTGTTATTAGATATCCGCAGGATTTCAGTTCTGTATTATAATTTGAACCAAACTGAAGGCTAACAAAACTGGATTACTTTTCCAGGCAACATCCTTCGAGTTAGGTCTTTTTATTTGATACCACAAGTCTTCGTTTTGTTAGGGTCTTATCTTTTTTTAATTTTTATTAGGGATGGTGTTTTGCTCTGTTACCCAGGCCGGAGTGCAGTAGTGCAGTCATAGCTCACTGCAGCATCGAATTCCAGGGCTCAAGCAATCCTCCTTCCTCAGTTGAGTAAATGGGACTACAGACATGTGCTGCCATGCCTAGCTTGTTAGTGTCATTTTTAAGTGCAGATTTTTGAAATGGGGGACCCGACACAGGGTAGACGTTTAGTGAATGTGCATCAGTGGTGACAATTCAACTGTATCATTTGATCCTATAGTAAGGAAAAGGACAAGTGCAAAACTACTGTACATCTACAGTTAGCATAGTAGAACCTACTGCATGTCAGATGATGGGTCTCTTTGTGGACTTTTTTCTGGATATTGCAAATTGAAATCCTTAAATGGATTTGATAATGTTGAGAGGTGGGGGATGGGAAAGGGGAAAGCAAAAAGTTATAGTGCGGGAAACTTACTATTATTTTCCTTAATTTCATTTATTTATTCAACAAATATTTTGTGTATTTACTGTTTAGAAAGGTCTGGACTATGTTCCTTGGGGAATGAGAAGGGGAATTGGTGGGGAATCTACTCTTTAAAGAGATCACAGTTCTATCTTGGGGGCAGGGGAGTGATCCGTGCTGAAAGGCAAATGTGGGTCAGAAGCAGTTGGAGGCTCGTATAAGGAAAGCAGCACGTCAGCATGTCCACCATTTGACTTTTCTTCTGTAGCCCGTCAGTGCTGGATCGCTTGAATGCTTTGCTTGAACCTGGAGGCGTCCTTACTGTTAGTGAGAGAGGAATGATAGATGGATCCACCCCCACAATAACACCAAGTCCCAATTTCAGGTATTTATCTCTCTTAAGTTTCTGCTTAGGAATCTGACAGTCTCAGCAGAGGTAGACGTTCTGTAGGACCTTCTTATGTATTATATTGATAAACTGAGTCATAAGGAAGTTCCCTCATTCATTAATTCAGTTAACAAATACTTACTGAGGCTCTACTATTTACCAGGCACTGCTAGACTAGATTTCACACAATAACATTGCAGTTGTTTCAGGAGAATACATTGTTCCCTTTTCTGCTCTCTGTTGGTGAGTTAGAATGATGAATTAGCACTGTCTGATTTGGTGAATATGTGGAAGTAAGATTTTTGGAGTTTTCCAGTAGCACTAAAGGTGTAGTGGATAAACAATACATATTTTTTTTTTTTTTTGAGACAGAGTCTCACTCTGTTGCCCTGGTTGGCTAGAGTGCTGTGGCATCAGCCTAGCTCACAGCAACTTCAAACTCCTGGGCTCAAGGGATCCTACTGCCTCAGCCTCCCGAGTAGCTGGGACTACAGGCATGCACCACCATGCCTGGCTAATTTTTTCTATGTTTTTAGTTGTCCAGATAATTTCTTTCTATTTTTAGTAGAGACGGGGTCTCACTCTTGCTCAGGCTGGTCTCAAACTCCTGAGCTCAAACGATCCACCCGCCTGGGCCTCCCAGAGTGCTAGGATTACGGGCGTGAGCCACTGCGCCTGGCCCAATGCATAGTTCTTTAGAAGAGTAGGTTTAAAGTGATGTGCTGTATTGATGCATGTTAGAAGTAGAAGATAGAATGCAAGCGATAGTAGCACTTTTGAGGTAGTGGTGTTTGCCTCAGTGAACTCTCTGAAGATGAACCACTTACGATTTGTCCTCACTGATTGTTCCAGAGATATACCATTGGTTGCACTGGAACGTAAAATATTTCTTTTCTTTGAATTGCTGTCTTTCTAGGCTTTTTCTCTCAATGGATCCTGTTCATGGAGAAATATCCCGGGCTATGAGAAATCGTGGACTTGAAATCTACATTTCAGGAGAAGGTGATGAGAGCTTCCTAGACAACCTGGATTTGAAAGTTCTGCTGCACAGCCTTGGTTTAGTGGGAGACAGTGTGTGTGACATCCTCTTGGCTCTACATACAGAGATTCGGAATACTATTGCAGGTGAGGTGCTTGACTTCTGGGTCTCTGCAGAGTTTTAGTCTTGTAGAAATGTATGTTATTCCGTTGGACTGTTTGTCTAAGAGTTCTTACATTTAGTGTACATAGAAATAAAAATTATCAGGAAAGCCTGTTAAAAATGTAAAAAAATGTCCACATACCCCAAGAGATGAGGTTCTGCAGGTCAGGGTGAGGCACGGGAATTGGTATTTTAACGAAGCCTCCCAGGTGATTGTGACGCATGCAGAGGCCAACACTTTGGGTAATACTGCTTGAGGCACTGAGATTTATGATGTTGGCCCATCGTATCTCCCGGGTCAGCAGAGGTTCTTCAAGGTGGAATAAAGAGGAAAGTTTGAGTTGCTTAAAACAGACAAATCTGATCTTTTTCTAAATGTTCAATTATACAAAAAGGACCCATAATAATAAATGCAATCCTGTTAATTGAGTAACTACTATGTGTTAGGTACAACACTGGTAGCTTATTTTGTCCTCACATTGGTTCTGCAAGACACGTTTCCATTTTACATGTAAGGCTCAGAGTATTTGAGTGAATAACTTGTGGAAGTTAGATAGTTAATAATGACAGCTGAGATTTGAAAATAAGTCTGTTGGATTTCAAAGCCCGTGTTCCTTTATGAGGGCACTCCTTTGCTACCTTCAGTGTGTGTCAGCATTAGATTGAGGAGATTTGTGATGAGGATTTATCACATAGGTGAATGGGTCCCCCATGGTATACTGCAGACAGCCAGAGAGAGGGAGAGAGAAGGGGAGAGCTAGGAGGTAGGAATGCAAATGTTCCCACCAGTGCATTATTCCCTCAGGAGACCCTAGAGTCTACTTAGGTTTTCTAAACTAAGTATCTGGGTGGGGGTGATTGGAAGGATATTTGGTGTGAAGGCGGAATTTATCTATTTTCATCAGAGCCAGATAGAAGAATCTATTGTCTATAGGTGGCAATTTTTTTTATAGGTTCTCCGACATCTTCAGTGTCAACTCTGATTCACACAGCTGTGCTCATTGTCCAGTACCTGCAGCGAGGGCTGAGTTTAGACAGAGCCTTTTCCGAAGCATGTTGGGAAGGATATGTCCGCTCCCAGCATTCACCAGCAAACCGGAAGGTACTATGAAGCGTTTCAGACAGTTTCTAAGTTGTAACGCCCTATATTATTGAGTAGGAGGGAATTATTTTTAAAGGTGGTAATCTTAATGATCTGAAAGAGTTGCCCATTGTAGTTTTTGTTCTAGGATCTAGTACCTAGGTACTTTCCTGGAAAATAGAGTAAATGTTCCTTTCTTGAAACTTACCTGTCATCAGCAAAGTGGAATTTAACTTGTGGCGTTTTGCATTGAAGAATGTCCATGATAGTTGTTAGGAGATGATCACATGGATCCTAGAAAACTATTATCATTTCGTTAGTTTTTTGAGTGTAGCACTTGTATGTTGGTGCCTCTGTACCATGTGTTTTTATCTCCTACCAGCTTGCGCAGGCTTTGCTGGAGAAACATATTTCTACTCTGCGAGCACGTGAAACCTGGGGGGACTCCATTCTTGCCATGGGACTGTGGCCAGATTCTGTGCCCTCAGCTCTCTTTGCTACTGAAGATTCTCACCTCTCTGTAGTCCGAATCGATGGACAGATCTTAGCATATTGCCTCAATAGGATGAGCATGAAAACCAGAAGCTGGGCAAGGTCAGTGGAGTCTTCAGCTTGTGTGTCTGTCTGGCTTCTTTACTAGTTTTTGCCTTTTGTGGAAATGATCAGGACACAGCATATTGAATCAGAGCATTATATGGCCATTTATTCTCCAGCTGTCATAATGCTATTCATTGTGATGTTGCTCCCTATTATTTATTAGGTCTGTGTTTTAATTGTCTTCCTTTGTGAGACTCATCTTTTACCCCCTTGCATCTATGGTCCAATGTTTGTAAAATAGTTCTCTCACTTCTCTGAAATGTGAAATAAAAGGTTATGCTAGTACCAACTTTGCCCATTCCAATGAATTTCAGGAGTCAGCCTCTTACTTGGCAAGACTTAGGGAAAATTATGCAGTCTTCCAGCCCTGAGAACCTGAAATTCAGTGCAGTCGAAGTGGATACTTATTGGATCGATGAACCGGATGTGCTGGCCATGGCTGTGAAATTGCTCACAGAAAGAGCAACTAATCAAGATTGGATGCTCAGAGTTAAATGGCTTTATCATTTAGCCAAGAACATACCACAGGGGCTTGGTGAGTAGAAAAGCTTAATTTATCCAACAAGGGGATTTATATATACTTATCCTGTTTAAGCGGCTCAGCGGCTTTTTATTCTGTGAATACACTGTTAAAATTTTAGCTGGGAGGCCTCCTAGAAAGAAATTTGTGACCCAGCATTACTTTATGTGTAGCTGTTAAAAAATTAAGGAGCAAGTCTGCCCTTGATGTAGCACACAAGAAATTCTTATTCCCATATAATCTGTAGCATTTTAGGGTATGTCTGCCTTTCTATCAAATT